AGAAATCTTTAATAAATTAAAAAAAAAAGGAAAAAAAGGAAAAAAAAACCCCTCAAGCTAAACAACTGCAGCATATGTCTAAGGCAGACCCACGCAGGCTCTGTGGTTGCTGCTTCAGTCTCTGTGAGCTCTCATGATCCCTGCTTAGTTGCCTCCTTGGGCCCTGTTATCCTGTTGTCCTGAAGCTCTGGCTCCTCCCTCTCTTCTGGGTTTACTTGTGCTCTTGTGGATGATGGTTCTTGAGATCCAGAGTTAACACAAGGCTCCATGAAGATTCATCTGTCCTGGATCTCCTGGGCTTTGCTGTCACTGTCTGCCTTGGCTTCTGTATTTGTGACCACTGTCGTCCATGCTCTGTGTTAATGGACTCAGGAGCCCTGGCTGCTCACACACACCACGCACCAAGGCCTCTCTGAGACCTATATCATTTCAGCATCATTCCAGGGAAAAGCTAGGGTTCCTCACCTGAGACCAGGAGCTCCAGGGGGTCACTAGGTTCTGACCACACCAGTGGGCTGTTCTTGTTATAGCTGTAGCATCTGAATGTCCATCTTTGACTGGAGGTCACAGGGCCCACAGAGAACTGGGCCTGGTACTGCCAAGTATAGGAGTTACACCGTGAGTCCAGTGTCTGGGACAGCTGCTGTGGTCCTTCCTTAGTCAGAATGAAGCAGTCATATGCCTGCCATGAATCACACTGGAGGGTGACATTCCCTCCTTCAGTCACCTCAGGCCTCGACTGGGCTGACAGGCTGGGTTTGCTGTAGAATCCTAGGAGAGAAGGAAGAATCAGTTAAATGTCCTCAATAGTCTCATTATGTTCCATGATTATAAAAGGTGGACATACTTACTGAACAGACTGTCCTCTCACCTGTCACCACCAGCTCCAGGGAGTCACTATACTCTGACCATCCATTAAGGGTCCGATATTGACAGTGATATTGCCCTGCATGGTGATAGCCTAATTTGGAGATTGATAATTCATTCTTGTTCTTAGGGTTCTGTGAAATCTCTCTCTGCCATTGATTTTGGTATAGTTCTTTATAAAATCTATACTCTTTGGCTCCTGTGGCTCCCTCACACAAGAAGGTCACCTTATTCTGCTTGGAGACCACAGAGTGTGGCTGTGCTCTGAGGACAGGCTTAGGAAGGGTCTCTGCAAGAAAAGAGCAGCTAGGACTCAGTACAGGCATCCTAAGATTGCAACCCCATTCCCAACTCCTCATCACCCCCAGCGCACGTGCGTTGTTTCCATCTTCACTGCCCAGGCAGGGCTCCTGGGGATGATGAGAATTGCAGGTCAGGACATCTGCAGACACTCACCTGCCAGCACTGGGGTCCAGAGGCCCAGAGTAAGTCCTGGAAGAGAGTTCCCTGTGAGAGGTTTGTCCCTGAAGCTTGAGCAAGTCCTCCCCATTCAGTCCCCTGAGACCCAGGGCTTTCCTGATGGGCCAGTGCTGAGTGTTGGGGCAGCATCATTTCTAGACAATGGTATCCCCTCCCCATCTCCACCTCTCACCCACACAGAGCAGGGCTGTGAAGGTGAAGGTCATGGTATCTCCTCCTGTAGGCTACAACTGTGCTCCTGGTGAGAATGCCAGAGACTGCCTGGAGGAACATGAGATTTACGTTATGACCCCTGGAGGCAGGAACTCCCCATGACAGGGTTGTAATGGAGCAGCCCCACAAGAAGGGGAACTGCCCTCCTCAGGCACCAGACTCTGACTTCCCCAATACTGTGGCTAGGTCAGGCAGTAGATTCTTCAGGCAACATTTGATGGATGANTGAATGTTTTGTGATGAGAATTTGTTGGCTTTGCTGTTTTCTTTGATCAGTGCATTTATTTTCTCTATGGTGTCCGATTTTCCATATCCTGCTGGTCCTCAGTTTGTGTTTTCTTCCTTGCTTCCATTTCAGTTTTCAATTCTTGAAGTGTTTCCATTATCTGCTTGATTGTTTTTTCTTAGTTTCCCAGGGTATCATTTATGTATTTACTCATTTCTTCAAACTTTTTGTTATACTTCTCGTCCATTTCTATAAGGGCATTTTTTACATGATGCTTAAGGGACTCTATTGCTTTCATAAAGTCAATTTTTTCCATTTCTTCTGTGTTCAAGTCCTTCTGTTGTAAGACCATTGGGTTCTGGTGTTTTCATGTTGTTTTTGAGATTGTTGGGTGAATTCTTGCCTTGGCGCCTGCCCGTCTCTTCCTACCGATGCTATCTAATGGGTTTTCTAAAACAGGATCAGGTTTCCCTGCTGGCCAGGGGCCCCACTTACAAAATGCCCCCACTCTGTTTTCTGGCTCCCGCTGCGGGCCAATATCCCTCTCACTACTCAAAAGGGTCTTCAGGAACAGGATCAGGCTCCCCGTTCACCAGGGACTTCGCCAACAATAGGCCTACCACTCTGCAGGCCAGCCATTAAAACAAAGAAACTCCTGCTGCCCTCTGCCCCAGAGCACCCGACCCAGCGCCCAAACAGGCTGAACTGGGTGATCCCGCAGCCCCATGGAAGGGAGGGAGAAGAAAGGAAAGCTCTTGGGCCTAAGCTGGGATGGGCCAGGGAGAGAGAGGTCGCAGCAGAGGAGGAGCAGCCCCAGTAGAGGGGGGCAGCACCCGCAGAATGACCAGGGAGAAAAGGGGGTCGGGGAATGCCCCCGCTTGGATTCCTTGGTCCGGCCGAAGACCAAGAACACTCTCACCACTCAGGAAAGTCTTTAGGGACAGGACCAGGCTCCCCGTTTGCCAGGGACCTCGCCAACAAAAGGCCTACTGCTCTGCAGGCCAGCCACCAAAGAACCGACTTGATTTACTTGTAGTGGGATGATTTACTCTCAGTGTGGGCTTCACTGATTCATGCTTGGACTTTCGCATCTCCGCTGCGTGTCTGCATGTGCTGGGTGTCCTCAGCGCTTCTGCGTGTGCCGGGTGTCCGCCGCGTGTCTGCGTGCGCCGCTGGGTGTCCTACGAGCGTCCGATTGGTAGTATTTTTAAAGCAATAAAAAAAGAAAGAAAATTCATTCTGGCTGCTGGATTCTCTTTCTGTTCTCTATTCCAGGAGAGAATTCTGATTTGTGAGCCTACACCTAAATAAATAATTGTCTATTAGTCTCAATTCTGAGTTAGTGTGGGATTTCTTTTAAGCGTCTTTCTTCACCATATAGGGGTAGAAACAGGATATGTGTGGGAGTCTTTCTGTGCTTGGCCATTGGCCAGGGTGCAGCCATGCTCTATCTGTGGGCAGCAAATACCAGATACTGCAAATCAGGTGGGATGCCTTCCTCGTCTTGGATCTCCACCTTGACATCCTCTGTGGAGTCTCTGGGCTCAACTTCAAGGGTGATGGTCTTGCCTTTCAGGACTTTTCCAAAAATCTACATTTTAGTATTTGTTTGACAACTTAGTTTAAGTGAAAGAGAGCTCAGTACATACATTTCGTTTCCTTTTACTTTTGATGCAGGGCCTTCAGTATTCTACTTCTTCTGAGCCACCCCTTTATCCTGTAATTTTCAATTTCTGATCTTTCAAGGTTTTCCATCTGCTACCTTTTCTTATTCTTATGGGTTTAATATCTTTGTTATTGTTTTAAGACAGGCTCTCTCTGTGGAACCCTGGCTGTCCTGCAGCTGGTTATGTAGACCAGGCTGGGCTGGAACTCATAGAAATTTTTCCTGCCTCTGCTTCCCAATTGTTTGTATTAAAGGTTTTTGCCACCAACCTGGCCATGGCTTTAACATCTTAATTGTTTGAAAATGTCATATCAGTATGTATTGTGTTTTGATGGAGTCCACCATGCACCCCTCCATTTCTTCCTGACCCTTTCTTGCTGGTTTCCCTGCTCACTGACCGGATTTTTTTTTTTATTTCTTTTGTGACCTGCTAGTTGTTGAAAATACACTGCCCTTTCTTACACCCCAACTTTCTGTTCTCTTCCTTCCATGTAGCTAAATTAGTGCTTCTCATATTCTTGGGCATGGTACTGAAAGACTCTAAATGCATTTGTAAGCCCTCCTCAACCCTAAGACATTTTTCTAAAACCTTACACTCACTCTATCTTGGAAAAGGGACAGTACTCCCCCCCCCCACATGCTGGACTGCTCATCCCCCTGTGTCCTTGTGAATAATCTTCAAACATAATTCCATTTTGGGAATTGAGGCAAATACAACCCACAGATGTTGACTCAGTTCCTGATGTCTTGATTTAGTCACTGAACCAAAGGTCAGGATGGGCCACAGATGCTCTGCCTTATCACCTGACCACGCAGCTATTCTCCTGCCCTGGAATAGACCAATCACTGCTAGTAACCCCTTGAATAAGCCAATCCAATTAGTTGGAAAACAACTTACAGGTCCCCCCTTGTGTCTGTGGCTTTTCACTTTATTAGATGGACTGTAACAGCTATTGATGTCCTTCATATCCCGAACCTGAAGGAGCCTGTCATGACAGAATAAAAATCCTCTTGCTTTTGCATCAATTTGNTGGGCAGTACTTGTGGGCAGCAGTGCATGGCTTTGTCACTGCTGTGCTTGTGAATAAACTGGCAAAGGGATGGATCTTTGATACCACTACACTGCTGTAGGAAATCATACAGCCAGTAGCCTTTGAGTTAACCGTCCACTGGGGCATGGCCTCTTATACTATTTATGCCAATGTAAAGCATGCATCTGGAGGTTTGGCTCTGGAGGGGTTCCCAGAAGTCCACGTGCCGGGATGACCCTAGCTAGGACCCTGGGCAGTCGAGGAGAGGGTGCCTGAACTGGCCTTGTCCCGTTGTAAGACTGATGACTATCTTGAATATCACCATAGAACCTTCGTCTGGTGACAGATGGAGACAGACAGAGACCCATATCGAAGCACTGGACTGAGCTCCCAAGGTACAGTTGAAGAGCAGAAGGAGGGAGAATATGAGCAAGGAAGTCAGAACCACAAGGAGTTCACCCACTGAGACAGTGTGCCTGAGCTAATGGGAGCTCACCAACTCCAGCTGGACTGGGAATGAAGGAGCATAGGATCAAATTGGTCCCTCTGAATGTGGCTGACAGTTGGGGCAGACTGAGGGGCCAATGACAATGGCACTGGGCTTTGTCTTTACTTCATGTACTGGCTTTTTGGAATCCTATTGCTCTTTGGATGCAGGAATCCTTGCCCTCTCTTAGGACTGGAGTGGGTGGGAGAGAGGGTGTTTGCGGGGAGCAGGAGGGAAGTGGGAGGAGTGGAGGAAGTGGAATTTTGATTGGTACTATTTTTTAATTAATTTATTTATTTATAAAAGATTTATGTCTCTTCCCCACCACCNCCTCTGCCGCCTCCCATTATAGCTATTGGATGTCCTTCATATCCCGAACCTGAAGGACCCTGTCATGACAGAATAAAAATCCTCTTGCTTTTGCATCAAATGCACCCATGTGAGTGGTGTCTGGAGCAACTCCTCCCTGATGATTGGACTTCTAGTCCAACATTTTGGTGCATTGGCCAGGAAATGAGTTGCTTCTGGACCCATTCCAGACCCAGTTGGAGGTAAGATCGAGCGCTCTTATTGTTTTTGTCTGTCTGTCTGTCTGTTTTGTTTCTGTGATTATTGTAGTTTGCGTTCGTTGGTATTCTGAGAAATTGTACCTTTGTAGGGCTAGTATCTGGAGGACACTCCAGTAATCTGAAATATGGAGGATGCTCCAGTGTCTGAAAGGGGCTAGGAGTGACCAGGTCACTCCTCTAGTTCCCAGGAGGCACGGCTATTTGCCGCACACTTCCTCTGAATCTGTAGTGCTGCGCAGCTTCTGATTTTGAGTTTGGTTTTGGCTTTTCGTGTCTTTGGTTTTATGTCGTGTTTTTGTTTTTGTATATCTGTTTGTACTTGAGTCTAAATCTGGTACCATGGGGCAGTAAGTAACCACCTCTCTGACCCTAACTCTAACTTTAGAGAAAAGCTGCAGACTGAGCTGTGGAAATCCAAAAGAAATGCCGCCAAGCAATCTGCTTCCTGGAGTGGCCCACTTTTGAAGTGGGCTGGCCACAGGGCGGGACGTTCAATCTAGATACTATTTTGCAAGTTAAAGAAAAAAATCTTTCAGCCTGACCCTTATGGCCACCCAGACCAGGTTCCCTATATTGTCATCTGGGAGAGCTTGTCCAGAGAACCCCCCCCTACTTTGGGTGAAACCATTTTGCTACAGAGCACAGTGCAGGCACCAAGGCCGGCTTCCCTCTGACTTTGATAACAACAGTCTGCTCCTCCCCTGTCGTCCCCCTCCCCCTCCCGCCCCCGTGCAGGAGGCACACATGCCAGCGGGGTCCAAGGTGGTGTTAATTCCTCCCCACAGGACCCACTTAGCCTTGGAACCAGCAGTGGGCTGTTTCTCTGGGGTCAGATACCCTATTAGAAAGCAAAAGTTTCATAAAGAGCCTGGACCTTTTCATTTTGGCAGCAGACAGAGAGATTGCAATTAAGTATCCCTGTGCCTTTTGGTAAATGGCGAATGTGGATCAGGAGCAACAGGTAGTAGGGCACGCCAACATCAGAAGGGCCTTGCAGCCCTGATAGCATCTCTCTTCTAGCAATGCTCTGTTCCAGTCATCACATGCTGTGTACAGGGTAAAGCCTCTGGTTTAAAAATTGGGGAAAGTTAAGCTGAGTCACTTAAAAAAATGTGCTTATAAAAAACTACAGATTGTTGGTTTCTATATTTCTTACTATGCAATGTGTGCAGAAAAAAAGTAAATTCCCAGCTCTGTTTAGATGGGTAAAGGAATACACTGTCTTCAAAAAACTATCACTTTAAAAGCACTGGCCCTGGGCCAGGGCCATCTAAATGGCCCATGTTTAGATCTAAATTTGACACCTGACTGCTCGCAATGCTTGTGATGAGGTGGAGGCCCTGAGTTGCCCCACATGGCAAAGATCTGCTGAAGCCTCTCACCCCACTACAATGGCAAAGGGGGTGTTGCTGAGTGATGAAATTAAGTTAAAATGGTCCTTTTGACTCTTTATAATGTTTATAACTATTTTAAAAACATGGCGAAGATGCTCATTTATTATTGATATAAACGAGGTACATTTTGGGTTGTTTTCAGATTCTGTCTATGATGAAATTATTCTACTATGTAAAATAGGCCCAAAAGGGATATTGCTGAGTTTTAAGGTAATATATTACCTAATTCTAAAAATTCACCATACTAATGTTCAAAGTAGCTGTATCAGTTTTCATTTTTACCAAAAATGGAGGACTTTTATTCCACATTCTCTTAAGCATAAATTGTCAAATAATATTTTTAATCTTGGTCAGTTTTACAGAAATAAGATAAAATCTCAAAATTGTTTGATTTGCATTTCCCCGATGATTAAGGATGTTATTTTCAAGCAAATTTTAAATATTTTTCAGTCATTTTAAGTATCTGCTGAGGATTTACAGTTTAGGTCTGTAACATAATTTTATTGGATTATTTATTCTTATGAGGACTAAGTTCTTAAGTTCCTTATATGTTTTAAAAATAATTGATAAAGATACCTTCCCATTCTACTGGTTGATATTATGTTCTGTTGATTATATCCTTTGCTATACAAAAAGCATCTCAGTTCTGAAGATCTTATTTATTGATTATTTCTCTCAATGTCTATGCCACTGAGGCTGTGTTTGAAAGTGTACTTAAAACTTTTTTCTTCTATGAGGTTCAATATTGTTGGTTTTGTGTTAAGGTCTTTGATTTGTTTGGATTTCAGTTTTGTGCATAGAGATAAATATGGATCTATTTTCATTCTTCTATGTCTAATTAATTCTTAAAGGGAGAAACTGACAGTCAAAATGCCAGGCTCATGGCAAATCCAGGGGCAAGGCACCCCACTAATTCGGCCAAGGTAAAAGAGGTTCTCCAGGGG